GGAAGGGGGTGGGGGTGGGGGCGGGGATCACCCTCAGCGGGAAGCTTCTGAGAAAGTGGAAGTGAGGAGGTCAGGCCTGGATGGCCTCCGTCACATCCTAGCTGGCCTGCCCACTTCGAATTATTTCCTGTTTATCCTGTCTCTGTCCTGCTTTGTGTATGTTTGTTTGTGTGCTGTCTCCCTGTTAGATTGTAAGCTTCCTGAGGGCAGGGACTATCTTTTGCATCTTTGTATCCCCTGGGCTTAGCACAGTGCCTGGCACATAGCAGGTGCTTAATAAATGTTCACTGAGAGACTGACTGTCAGAAAGACTCATCTCATCACATCCCTCTGCTCCCCAAACCTTCAGTGACTCTGAACACTCAGGAGACTTCAGCCTCCTGCTTGGCACTGAGGCCCCACGCAGTGTGGGAGCAGCTTTCCTTTCCAGCTTTCCCATAGTACTTCTACCCTCCAGGCAAACAAGACGATTCTCTGCCCCCACCATGACATGTACTCCCCCACCTCCTCCTGCCTGGAAAGGCCCGCCTTGGGGTCTCCCTGGTGGGATTCTCGCCCGTGACGGCTCCTCCGGGCCCTTTTCTTTGGGACTAGAGGATTGCATGTTTTGTATCTGGGTCCTTAGCACCGGGCACACACATGGCAGAAGGTTAAGGAATGCTTGTGATTGGATTGATCACGACAGCTGCAATGATCTAAGTGCCAATGACTCAACGTACTGACCAATCCTAGAACTGGAGGCCGGGGGAGGAAGCAGAGAATGGGGGGCTGTGGGGGCGGAATGCGGCATACACAGCCGCTGTGCTGGAGAAGGGGCATGACTGGGGCATCAAAGCCACTACGACAAAACCTTAAAAAGCACAACCTGGAGCAGCCCCTCCTGAGGGCAAAGTGCCAGGAAGGAGGTCCCACGCCTGGTCCCCGGGCACTCCTAGAACTGCAAACTCTCAGAATCCCAGAGCTGGAAGTCAAATCCAGACCTGAACAAGAGTCATCTCTAGACTGTCCCCGTGAATCGTCCTCCAGCTTCTGCTTGAAGACCCGCGAGCTGGGGAGCTCACTACCTCCCCTCCACTCCCAAACAGCTCTGATTGGCAGGACATTTTTCCATACGTGGAAATTAAGTCTTCCTCTCTCCAGTTCCTCCCTGACCCCCAAACCTGGACAGGGGCCTGCCTCCTTTTGCTTTGGACCTGGCCCTTCATACTCAGCTTGGCCATTAGGTTGAGCGAAATCATGGGGCTGCCAGTGATGTTCCTAACTCACAGGCCGGACGGGGTCACTCCCCTGCTCTCAAGGCTCCAGCGACTCCCTAGGGCCATTAGGAAGAAATGCAAGCTCGTCCACTGAGCATTTGAAGCCCTTCCTGACCCGGTCCCGACCCACTTTTCCAAGGCGATTATGTACGCTTCGCTCTAAGATCCCGCCAATCAGCCTCCGCTCCTTCTCTCGCCTTTTCACTGTCCTGAGGTCCTGGATGCGGGGAAGGCCCTCCCTTCTCACCCCTGCCCTTCAGAATCCCCAACTCCTCTCGGTCCCAGCCCTGTCGCGTCCAGGGAGTCCCCTCCCCCAGGCCCAACCGCCCTGTATTTGCTTTGTCTCCATATAGAAGTGGTCACGTTCTTTCCCCTGATAGAATGTAAGCTTCATGAGGGCAGGCGTTTTTTGTCTTTTTGTGCCCAGCACACAGAAGTCTGGGACAGTTTTTGTTATTCAGTTTCAGTTGTGTCTGAATTTTCATGACCCTATTTGGGGTTTTCTTGGCAAAGGTACTAGAGCGGTTTGTCATTTCCTTCTCCAGCTAATTTTACAGATGAGGAAACTGAGGCAAACAGGGTGAAATAACTTGTCCAGGGTCACACAGCTGGTAAGTGTCTGAGGCCGGATTTGAACTCCTGAAGGGGAGTCTTCCTGACTCTAGGCCTAGCACTCTATCCACTGCACCACTTAGCTGCCCCTAGGCTGAGATTAATAAATGCTTGTTGACTGACCCCAGGGACCTGAGATGATGAGGACCGTGGCTAGGGCAAAAACCCACCACCCTTTCAGTGGTCTCTGTTTAAGGCCCCTCCCAGCCCTGGCATCCCCTGCTCTAAAGCCCTCCAGCTCTACCATTTTGTGATTTAACCAGTTCAATAAACAGCTGATAAGGGGTTTGCTTAAAAACGCCAGCTCGCCACCTGCACCAACTGCCTGATCCAGCAGACAAGTCTGTCCGTGTTGGCCCATTTCCTGTACAGCGCAATGGTCTCCCTTGGCGCCAGACCTTTGGCCCCCTGAGGCAGTGGCTGGCACTTGTCCAGACCGTCAGCCATTGGCCTGGGAAGGCCTGTCAGACTGACCCATCCAGACCACTGGCCCCCATAGGCACAGAGGAAACAATGAGGTGTCTGGGAAGGAGATCCCGGCCCGGCCCAGGGGTACGAGCTGGCAGAGAGGGGCGACTTCAAGGTTTATCTGCTGGGGCTTTTCCTCATCTACAAATGAGGGGCTCTTAGCAAGCCCTTGGTACAGTTCCTGGAACATAGTAGGCACTTCATAAATGCTTGTTCCCTTTCCCCTTCCTTTCCCTCTGCCCCATGCAGATGGGCTAATCTTCTTGCCTGCACTTAGTGCTAAAATGCCATCCTTGGAAATGTAGAGGTACCAGTGTGAAGATGTACTCTGGATCAGTATTCTAGATATGAAGGGGCGGGGCAAAGAGCAGCCCTCGCTGCCCTGGATGAATTCAAGTCCCCTGTGCCCCAGATGGAAGAGCTCCTGAAAGAACTGGCTGATGGGAGTGATGTGACATCCCCTGTTCTAAGGCCCCTCCTAGTTCTGACATCCCCTGTTCTAAGGCCTTGAAAGAGCTGGCTAATGTGAATGTTGAGCAATTATCAGTGATCCTCGAAAGACTGTGTATACAGGGGAAGTATTACAGGACAAGTGAAAGGCAAGCGTTGTCCCTAATGACAGGCCAGGGAACTTGACTTGAATTCCTGGGAAAATTCTAGAAGGAAGCATTAAAGAGATAGCTGGGCAACACCTAGAACAGGAAGCAGTGATCACCGAGAGCCAGCCTGGCTCCATGTAGGACAGGTCATGGCAGATGAACCTCGTTTCTAGAAGAGGTAGAGAGATGTGGGCTGGACAATGACACCGTTAGATGGCAGCGGTAGAACTACCACTGGGCGCGGTCATTAAAGGGTCAATGTTAACCTTTCCTCCTTCCACCCCCCTCGTCAATTGCGTAACCACGAATCCAGACCAGATCAAATCCACCATTGTCCCTGGATGGGACGGGTCAATTTGCTCCCACTCACAGGCCTAACTTTCCAAAGTACCCTGCCCATCACTCCCCTTGGTGTTTTATTACCCCTTTAGAATATAAGCTCTTTGAGGGCAACATTGTCTTTGCTTTCATATTTGTATAAAACTATCTCCTGGCTCTTGTTCCCTCACGCAAGTTAATTTTAGGATGATTTTCTTGGTCTGTGCCTGCAGGCCACGGATAACAGTGACTATATCGAGGGGCTCATAGAAGCTTAGCACAGTGCTTGGCACACAGTAAATGCTTAATAAATTCTTTCTGTTTTTGTTTAAATAACCTTCTTTTGCCTTGGTTTCCTCATCTATAAAATGATATTATCTATGATACATATATCATATGATATATATTCATTATCATATGAATATATATGATTATATATAATCATCTACAAAATATGATACAGATGATGTAATCACCTATAAAATGATATTGAATTAAATGTCAATCAGTCAAACACTTATTAAGCACTAATTACCTGCCCGGACATTTAATAAACGCTCACGGACTAAAGTGACTGCGAGACATGGGGCTAAGCACTGGAGACACAGAGAAAGGCAGCAACGTGGGTCCTGCCCTCAAGGAGCTGACATTCGAATGGGGCAAACAACGTGCAAACTACAATGCAGATGACTGAGAAGGTCAAAGTCTACGATCCTAGGAAGCTCAATTTCCTCATTTGTTAAACGGTAACAACACCTGCCTCCTGGGGCTGCGAGGCCCGAGTGAGATAATGCTGGTAAAAGCTACAGAAATGAGAGCCATTGTTGAGCCCATTTGGCAGATGAGAAAACTAAGGCCATAAGAGAAGGGACTTGACACAAGACTGCCCCTATATGAATGACTGAGTGGTAGTCTCTGGGCTTCTCTCTCTCTGTCTGCCTCTGTCTCTCTCTCCCTCTCTCTCTTCCCCTCTTCCTCTTTCCCTCTCTCTTCATCCTCTCCCCTTCTCTTGTCTCTCTCTCTCTCTCCTCTCCTCTCTTCTCCCTCTTTCTCTCTGTCTCTGTCTCTTCCTCTCTCCCTCTTTCTCTCTGTCTCTGTCTCTTCCTCTCTCCCTCTTTCTCTGTCTCTGTCTGTCTATCTCTCTCTCTCTTCCCCCTCTCCTCTCCTTCTTTCTCTGTCTCTCTGTCTCTTTCTCTTCCCCTCTCCCTCTTTCTCTGTCTGTCCCTCTCTATCTTTCCCTCTCTCTCTTCCTCTCCTCTCCTCTTCTCTTCTCTCCTCTCTCTCTTTCTCTCACTCTTCCTCTCTCTCTCTTTTCCTCTTCTCTCTTCCTCCCCTCTCTCTTCTCCCTCTCCTCTTCTCTTCCTCTCTTTCTCTCTTTCTCTCACTCTCTCTCTGTCTCTCTTCCTCTCTCTCTCGGTCTCTGTCTCTCTCTCTGTCTCTCTCTCCCTCTCTCTCTCTCTTTCTCTCACTCTCTCTCTTCCTCTCTCTCTCTTTCTCTCATTCTCTATCTCTTCCTCTCTCTGTCTCTTTCTCTCTTTCACTCTCTCTTCCTCTCTTTGTCTTCCTCTATTTCTCTCTCTCTCTCTATTTCTTTCTCTCTCTCTCTCTTCCTCTCTCTTTCTCTCTCTTCCTCCTCTCCTCTTCCCTTCTTCTTCTTTCTCTCTCTCTGTCTCTCTCTGGAGTTGCCAGCACTCTTCCCCTGGCCACGTCCAGTGCCTGGCAGGGCCGCCTGCTCTGCCATCCTTACCTGAGGCATCCCGACGTGTTCTTGAACACGGTGGTCCACTCGGCGTCCCGTGGCTTTGAGTCCTCATTGGGCTCGCTCTCCCAGCCCGAGTGGGGGACAATCACCTCATTGGTCAGGGTCTGCAGGCCATGGTTGATGATGACCATCTTGAGCGGTTCATAGGAAGACAAGTTCCACAGTGTGCCTGAAAGACAGAGGAGGGTCACGGTTCAGAGAACATCTTGCAGCACTCCATGGTGGGCTACTGTCTGCTCTGGGCAGGACCGGGAATAATCAGGCGAGGCTGCAGAGACCCATAAGCCTGGATGAGAACCATCCCAAAGGGAAACGGGTTGCCCCAGGAGGTAGTGAGCTCCCCATCCTGGAGGTCTCCAAGCAAAGGCCAGATGACCCTGAGGAGGATGGTCTTCCCGAGGTCCCTTCCAGCACTCTTGGCACCGGGGCAACTGCCCAAAGGCACGTGTAAGTGGGTGGCCCCAATGGGCGTGGGAACTGCATCAGAGGACCTGGCTGTGAATCCTGGCATGGGCACATACTAGTTTAACTGTGTGAAGGGATTTGGGTAAGTCTCCTTCCCTCTCTGGGCCTCAGTGACCCAATCTGTAAAATGGGGCCATACCAATACTCACACTCAACCAAGCATTTTGTAACTTATCAAGCCCAGCATTTGCCACAAGACAGAGGGCACCTTGTCCCTCCATTCCACTTGGCCATTGCTGTCTCCCCCGAAAGAACAGACGTTCCTTTAGGGAGGGAACTGCCTCACTTTTGTCCATGTATCATAGGGATCTGAAGTCAGAAAGATCTGGGTTCAAATCCTGCCTCTGACAGACTCACTGAGTGACCCTGGGCAAGTCACCCGACTTGTTGGAGTCTCAATTTCCTCATCTATAACATGAGGAAGGATAGGAAGGTTTTGTGGGTCTCCAGTCAGATCCTGGGTATAAAGGATGTTGTGAATTCAATGACAGTTTTAAAACTTCCAACTAAACACTAGAATAGAAATCTTGAAAATCAAAGGAGAGATTAATAAAATCAAAAGTAAAAAAACCCAACATCGAATTAATAGATAAAACTAGGAATTGGTGGGCTTTTTTTAGAGAAACGTCTATTATCATCATCGTTCTAATGATTCCCTGGCAGTCTAATGGAAAGCAGGCTGGAAAGAGCCCAGAGACCTCAACCTGAATGCCAGCTGACATTAACTAGGTGTGTGCCCACAGACAAGGACGTTCAACCTCCGGAGCCTCAGTGTTATTGTCTGGAAAATGGGGGAAACAATTCACACGCTACCTCCTTCCCTGCCTCTGAACAGGATAAGGCATTCTGTGAACCTGCAACCATTCTGGAATCATGAGCAGCTACTAGGCCAAGAAAACCATGAGGGGTCAGCTGAGGACGAGCTCAGCACGTCACAGTTCTTTAAGCACGCTGGCCCAATGACCTTGGACATTCAGAGGTACGGGTGGCCTACGGGGTGGGGGAAGGCCCAGGGCCTGCCTGACGGAGCTGACCCAGGGCTTTAGTCCCATCACTGAGATTCCCTAGGCACGTCTGATTCCACCCGCCTTAAGAATCCAATCAACTTGGTCTGAGTGGCTACTGGTGATAGGGACGGGGACACAAAGGAAAAATGTCCATCTCCCTACAGCACCCAGGACGTGTGGGCCTCTTCTGCTCAGATACCTCCAGGGGTGGGGAGCTTACTCCATATACTTTCAATATTATAGATAGTAATGGCTGGAGGGTCCCGTTTCACTCATGTCCTGGCCAACCCTATCACACCAATTTCCAGCTGGGACCAAAATAGAATCAAAATTTTATTGCTAATGGATGGCGTATCAGCGTACCACCCTCTGGTCCCACTCGCCATGCTTGTACCTGGCCACGTCACCACTCCCTACATGTGGTCAGGAATGAAGATGGAGTAGGAGGGGATGAGATAAGGAAGAGGGAAGGAGATCAAAAGAAAGAGAGAGAAAGGGGTGGGAAGGAGGCTAGAGCGGATGGGGAACGGGCATGGGGTGGAATGGGGCGAGAGAAGGGCTAAGATTGGGGCTGGGGCTGGGCATGGAGGGCACTCACCAGTGATGAGCTCCCGCACCTCCATGTCACTGGTCTTGCGCAGGAGCCGGATGAGGGCGGGGATGCCGTCGCAGCCCTTGATGGCCACCTTGTTCTCGTGGTCCCGGCCGTAGGAGATGTTGCGCAGGGCCCCGCAGGCCCGCCGGTGCACCTCCGCCTTGGGGTGGTCCAGCAGCCCCACCAGGATGGCGATGCCCTTCAGGTGGCGCACATCCTTCTTGATCTTGTCATTCTCGTAGCACAGATGCTGCAGGTAGGCGGCCGCGTTGGACTTGACGGGGTCAATGGGGTGGCTGAGCATGGCAATCACCTCTGGCAGGTCTGGGTCCCGCCACCGAGGGTCCTTGCGGATGCTGTCAATGGAGGGCGACCTCTTGCCCAGGCGGTCGATGCTGGCCATGCTGCCCCTCTCAGGTTGGGCCAGCGGGGCGGCATAGCCCCCGTGGATGTAGGGGATCCGCTCATCAATCATCTCGCTCTCCGATGGCTCATCGTAGGCTCTGAGGAGGAAAGGAAACACAAGGGCAGATGAGGAGCCTCGGTCAAACGGCCTGAGGCCCCAGGCCTAGGAAGGGAGGCAGAGCTGAGAGAAACAGCTTGTTCTGAGGGAGACCCACCCTACAATGCTCCCTGGGACCTTTTGTCTCCTGAGAGAATGCAATCGTATCACAGAACCCAGGAGAGATTACGGGATTCCTCAGCCGGGACGTCCTCTGAGCCCTGGGGCCCTTCCCAGAACCTCCAGTTTAAGGAGAGCGCCCAGGCCCGTCAGAGCCTCTTTCCTCTCCAGGCTCCCTTCCGGACTCTGGAATTTTTCTATCATTCCCCCTTTGAGCGCCCTTCTGTGCGCCGTCTCCTCCCATTAGATTGTGAGACTCTTGAGGGCAGAGACTTTTCTGTATTTCATTGCACCTCCAGTACTTAGCACAGTACCTGGAACACAGTAAGCGTTTAATAAATGTTCATCGATTGGGGCAGCTAGGTGGCGCAGCGGATAGAGCGCTGGCTCTGAAGTCAGGAGGACCTGTGTTCAGATCCGGCTTTAGACTAAACACTTGACACTTACTAGCTGTGTGACCCTGGGCAAGTCACTTAACCCCAATTGCCTAAAAATAAAAAAAATTTAAAAAAATGCTCATTGATGACTTGGATTGGGGGGATGTGGGGTCCTGGCACCAAACCCCAGCTCTGTGACTGCCTAGGCATGTCACCTTGGAGAAGGCTCCTACTGTCTCTTAGCCTTAGTTAAAATGAGAGGCAGAGCCAGGGGCGGGGGGAATCCAAGGAGGGCTCTGATGATAATAGCTCATGCTTACGTCATGCGTTAAGGTCTGCAAAGAGCTTTGCATAAATTAATTGGTTTGATTCTCATGATGCTGGAGAAGATGCTGTTATTATCCTCCTTTTACAGATGGGGAAACTGAGGCAGACAGCATTTAAGTGACGTGCCCAGGGACACACAGGTAGCACACACGTGAGGCCAGGTTTGAATTTATGTTTGCCCAGCATTCTGTGTCCTATGTCACCTAAGTAGCTTCAGGATGGGCAGGGTGGTGAAGGGGCATTAGGGATGGTGGGACACTTTCAAAGGCAGCTAGATGGGGCAGAGGATAAAGTGCTTGGAGTCGGGAAGACCCGAGTTCCAATCTGGACTCAAAAACCAACTAGCTGTGTGACCCTGGACAAGTCACTTAGATTATGCCTACCTCAGTTTCCTCATCTGTAAAATGGTTATAGTACCTACTTACCAGGGTAGTTGTGAGGTGCAGAGGAGATAATAATTGTAAATATTACACATTTTAAAGTGCTATCTCAATGTTTTTTTTTTTATCCCCCCCCCCCCCCCCCCCCCCCCCCCGCTGCAGAGGTTTAAAGCCTGGGGGTGATGGGCTATTCTCTGCGTCCCCTCTCCTGGCCTGGAATGCTGAGGCAGGGACGGGCATGAAAGAACAGCAGATGCTCCTGAGAGAGCCCCAGCAAGGATCCATTTGGACAGAAGCATCCCTGTAGGGATATGGGAGAGCTGGCCCAGGGTGTGGTAGGGAGCAGCAGCCCCGGCGGGGTGGGGAGGAGGGGGGAAGGGCACTGAGGTGGGTGTGGGGTGACGACCGTCTCCAGGGGCCTTGGCTGAGGCCCGGAGGCCTCAGAGCGCTCAGGGCTTCCCTCAATGGAGCAGGATGTGGCCGTGCAGATGGCCGTACCCAGAGGCCCCGGACGCTGGCCCCTCCATGGTAGCCTGTCAACATCAAAGGGAACACAAAAACTGAAGGCAGAAGTGACCAGGCAGAGAGGCCGGCATCCAGGGCCAGAAAGCCCCGGGCGAGCCACCCTCCCCTGCCGTGTCTAATTCACCACTTCCTCCCCAGACTCCCCAAAGCCAGTCTGCCGAGTGTGCTCCCTGGAAAGCAGGCCTGCAAGACTGAGCCCGTCACGCTAGGTGACGTGGGGGATAGAGCCTGGGGCCTGAATTCAAATCCAGCCTCGGTCCCTTCCTAGCTGGGTGACCCTGGTCTCAGCCTCAGTTTCCTCAACTGTAAAATTGATGCCAACCTCCCAGGATTGTTAGGAGGATCTTTGTAAATGGTGCTTAGCACAGTCCTTGGCACATAGTAGCACTTAATAAATACCTGTTCTCTGCCCCTCCTCTTCCCTAGGTCCTTTCCCTGGGGTCCATAAACTCATTTTAAAAAATATTCTGATATCTGTGTTTCAGCGGAACAGGTTTCCTTCACCATTCTCAGTATTTTATCTTATGCATTTCAAATGATTCTGAGAAAGGATCACCCAAAGACTTCTTCATCAGACCGCCAATGGGGGCCAGGGCACCCAAGAGGGAAAGGCCCCTGCTCTGGTCGAATACTCTTAGGAAACTGAGGCCCGGACAGATTCATCTAGAAGGGTCAATGTGGGGAATATGTCTGTACAAATAAGAGGAATCAATAACACTTAAAAAAGACAAAAAAAGAAATGAAGCCCAGAGAGAGCAGGGATTCACCCAAGGTCACACAGCACAGCTTGAATCTGAACCTTCATTTCCTGACCCTCAGCTCTGGGCAGCTTCCCCCAGACAGTGGAACAATTCAGGGCTCACAGAGAGAGAAACTGAGGACACTTGGGCCCCACTGGCCTGTTTGGGCTCTGTATCATTTCTTTGCACTGTGCATTCAACAAACCCTCTTTGAACACCTCTTGTATACATAGTCTCATGCTAGACAGTGAGAGAGCACAGCAAAGATGGGTATGAAGGAAATCTAGTCCTGATACACACAAAGCTCACAGTCCATGGCCGGGGAGCCATCCCACCAGGCACCCACCAGGTGGTGAGCATGTAACTGAATTCCCAACACAGGGTTACGGGTATTCAGAGGATCTGAGATTTGGCTTCTGGTTGAGTCAGTGTGCAAGGCAAAGGGATGACAAAGGGATGTCTCGGTATTCCCAGTGAATAGCACACAGCAGGAACTTAATAAATGCTTAATACACTAAAGTGAACATGATAGGGTCATTTCCTTTCCTCCTATAAAAGGAGAGGTTTGGATGAGATCAATCATTCAGTACTTATAAAGCACCTACTATGTGCCAGGCACTGTGTTAGGTATCAGGAGCACAACCCCCCTTCCCCCACAGTGAAATAATCCTTGCCCTCAAGAAGCTTATATTCTAATGGGGGGCAGCAACATGTACATTGGGCTCTAGGTGGCGCCATAGTGCACGGAGCGCCGGGCCTAGAGTCAGGAAGACTCAGCTTCCTGAGTTCAAATATCACTGCAGACACGTACTAGCTGTGTGATCCTGGGCAGCTCACTTCACCCTGTTTGCTTCAGTTACCTCACCTATAAAATGAGCTGGAGAAGGAAATGGCAAACCCCTCCAGCATCTCTGACAAGAAAACCCCAAATGGGGTCACGAAGACTCGAATCTGACTGAAACAACTAAATAACAGCATGTACATAGATGGGTACATGCAGAAAAGAAATAAAATGAACAGGAGGCTGTTTTGGCTTAGAGAGGGACCGCAGACAGCCTACCTAAGGACAACAAGCATGGGGTAGGGCCTACACTGGTCAGTACGATAAAGTGGACAGGGCACTGAACTTGGAGTCAGGATGGCTGGGTTCAAACCCCACCTCTGACACTAGCTATGTGACCCATGGCAAGACACTTAACTTCTCCCAGCCTCAGTTTCCCCCTCTGTAAGACGAGGGGGTTGAACTCGATAATGTCCAAGGTCCCTTTCAGCGCTGGTCACCCATGCTGATCAGTTGAAGGAATTGAGGCTGTTGAGCCTGGAGGAGAGAAGCCGTGTGTGTGTGTGTGTGTGTGTGTGTGTGTGTGTGTGTGTGTGTGCGCGCGCGCGCATGCACGTGCACATTTTTGTTGTATTCAAATATCTGAGGAGCTGTCATATGGAGAAGAGATTCGACTGGTTCTGTTCGGCCCCAGAAGACCCACCCAGGGGTCATGAGAGGAAGCTGTGACAAAGCTTGGACAACATTCCCACCATTAAGAACGGTCCCCAAGTGGGGTGGGCTGCCACTGCAGACGGCGGGCTCCTGCCCCATCATGGGAGGTCTCAGGCACAGGCTGGATGCCCACTTGCCAGGCACGCGGCAGAAAGGACTCAGGCATTTCTGGGGAGGCCGAGACGGCTTCTGAGGTCCCTGCCAAGTTTCTAAGATTCTGATACAAACACTTTATAAACCCACAAAGCAACCCAGAAATGCCAGCCGCGATGAGGGCTGCGTCTTGGTATGCCTAAAGGGGGTTCTGGGGAGAGCTGTGTGGAGGGGAGATGGGAGAAGGAAGAGCCTGGGGAAACGGAGGCCAGGCAGGAGGCTGTGGCAAGTCCAGGAGACAGGAGACTGCGGTGGGCATGTGGGGCCCTTCCCTTCTGGGAGGAGAATCCCGACCTACTCTTAGCCCCCCAGACAGTCTCCGAGGTCCTAGAGACACTGGGCCTTCCCCCAGGCCTTGGCTTGAGGAGGCTGAGGCCTCTCTCTCTAAGCCTGCCTGACATACCGGCCCATCCTGGTTGACCAGCCAGAGGATGCCTCCTGAGGTTCCAGGCCAGGGCCTGGCCTCCCTGGCGGTTGCCAAGGTGGAGGGCACAGGTGTAAGCTGACAATCCACCTAGGCACAGGTGTAAACTGACAAGCCCAAGCCCGCTTCCCAGCCAAGGACCCGAGAACTCCCAGCGGGGCAGAGCGACTGGCAGCCATGGGCTCCAGAGACCTTCCAGAAATACAAAGCCTTCCAGTTTGAAGAGATGGGGACATTCATAGGACCTAGACTTGAATCCAACCTCTGTCACACACTAGCAGTGTGACTCTGGGCAAGACATCTCCCGCTCTCAGTTTTCCCCACAATAAAATGGGTATAATAATTCCCATTTGACCTATCCTCGGGTTGGTGTGCGGCCCAAATGAGGAAAACCTCAAAGCCTCATGTAAATGTCAGGTGCTTTAAGCTTTAGGGCACTAGGGGTGGACTCGGGAGTTAAGGCCCGAGTTTGAATCCTACCTCAAATACTTAGCAGTTCTGTGAGACTGGGTAAATCAAGCCACCTCTCTGTGCCTCAGTTTCCTAAGCTATAAAATGGGCAGAATAATATCTGGAGAATTATCCAGGGTTGTTGTGGAGCCCAAAATGCTTGGGTTAAACCTTAAGGCGTCATAGAAATACAACTAGTTATTGTTGTAATCATTCCTCTGCTATTATGATTATTATTATTATTATTATTATCATAATGAATAATATAGAGAGACACTGGGCACAGCAGATGGACGGCCAGCCCGTGGAGGTCCTAGGTTCTGGCTCTGACTCCTGAACTCACTTGCTGTGTGACCCTGGACCAGTCACTGACCTCTCGGTGCCCAGGACCCTCACCCTCAGGCCAATCCTGCCGCCTAATGACGGCCCTTCAAGTACCAGCGGCCAGAGCCTTTCCCCACCCCCGTCCTCCCTTCTTCCAGCTCAATATCCCCAGTTCCTTCCATCAATCTTAACATGACTTGGTCCTTCTATGCTCTCTCCTCTGTGCCTCAGTTTATCCGCTGAGAAACGAAGGGGGTTGGGCTCAGTGGTTTCTCCATGGAGGACAGAGAGCGGGGCCTGGAGTCAGGAAGGCCTTACTTACCCTGGCCACGTCACCTAGGCCTTCTAGGCCTCACTTTACTCCTCTGTAAAATGGGAGGGCTGCACTGGGTGCCTGAAGCCCCTTCCAGCCCCCAATCCAGGATTCCCTGTTCTCCTTCTGAGGAATCTGGAGATGTTACCCCCATTCGACAGAGGAGGACGTGGAGGCCCGGAGGGGAGGCGGCTGGAAGGAGGGAGCCCCAGCTCAGACACTGCACCAAGACCCTTCTCTGGGCCGTGGTCCCCTCTGCTCCATTTCTGAAATCTTTCTTTTTTTTCTTTTTCGGTTGACAAACATTCCTTTCCTCTCCCTCCCGCCCTCCTCACATCTAAATGATGACGGACTCAGCAGCAGGCGCTCCTGGAGTGCCCTGAGGTCTGCAGGCATCATCCCACTGGAGACTGGCAGCATCCCCGGGGAGCGTGCCCATTTCACAGGTGGGATAACTGAGCCTGAGGTTAGGCAGCTTTCCTGGGGGCCCACAGCCAGGAAGGGGAAGAGCCAGGAGTCAATAAGGTCTCCTGATTCCAAATGGAGCGCTCGGGGCCAATTAGTAAGCGATGGCAGAGCTGAGAAGGGACCTAATGACGCGGCCTCCCCCCATTTTACAGAAGAGGAAACTGAGGCACAGAGCTGGTGAGTGACTTTCCCACACAGCTAATAGTGAGAGGCAGGATTTGAACACAGGTCCTTCGACTCTAGCGCCATGGCTCCCAAGTCCAGCCTACTATCCTGTGTCTCTCCTGCCTGCAGAGGCTAGAAGGGGCCATTCGAGGAGAAAGAGGGCACAATGGACTTGTGGGAATGCCGGACTTGGAATCAGGAAGCCTCGAGTTCAAATCTGACTGTAGATACTAACTAGCTGCGTGACCCTGGGCTACTCACTTAACCTCTCTGTTTGCCTCAGTTTCCTGATCTGTAAAATGGGGATGAAAACGACAGCATGAGATTATGACTGTAAAGTACTTAGCACGGTGCCCGGCACATAGAGGACGCTATATAATTGTTAGCTACTATTATTACTGTTATCTGTTGATGGAGATGGGCAGGTAGGGGGTGCCATAGTGCACAGAGCGCTGGGCCTGGAGTCAAAAAGACTCATCTTCTGAGTTCATCTGGTCTCAACCACTGACCAGCTGGGAGACCCTGGGTAAGTCACTTGACCCTGTTTGACTCAATTTCCTCCTCTGTAAAATGAGCTGGAGAAGGAGATGGCAAGCCACTCTGGTATCTCGGCCAAGAAAACCCTAGATGGGGTCATGGAGGGGCAGACACCACTCACAAAGGACTCAACCATAACCATGATAACAGTGCCCGATCATGCCACCCTCACTCAGTGAACGCCCATGGCTCCCTATGGCCTCCGAAGCCCTCCATAACCCGCCCCCTACCTTTCCTGCCTTCTCACACCTGGCTCCCCACCCCGTCCTCTTCCACCCAGTGCCTCCTGGCCTCCATCTCCTGGCTCCGGACCTTCTGGCCGGCCCCTAAGCCTGGACCGCTCTGACCACTGACCTCCCGGCTTCCTGTATGTGCCAACTAGAATCCCGCCTTGTCCAGAATGCCCAAGCCCTCTCAGTCCTCACGCCTTCCCTCTTACTTTCTGTTTATCTGGGACGTAGCTTGCTGTCTACCTATGTGTTTGCATGTTTTCTCTCCCATTAGATTGTAAGCCCCTTGAGGACAGGAATTATCTTTGGCCTCTTTTCATATCCCTTGAGCGCAGCACAGTGCCCAGAACACAGTAGGTGCTTCATAAATGCTTATGCCCAACTGGCTTTCAGAAGCTGTGCAGGTCAGGGTCCACCCTGTCTGGGGAGGGGCGCTCAGCCGTTACCTGCCCTTGTGAGGCCGGCTCCTCTCGGGGACCCCCACGGGCAGCCGCCGGTTCACGGTGGAGTAGTCTGGGTCCAGTTCATAGCCTTCGTCGTCCACCCCCAGGCTCCTGTTGTCATCCTCGAGCCCGTAAGGCTCAGGCTGGAACCTCTCGGGCTGGGAGCGGCTACTCACGGTGAGGTCTGGGCCACTGCCCACGGGGGGCACCTGGGGCTGGGCGCCGGGTGGCCCGTAGGCCTCCCTCCGGCTCGGCAGGGTGTAGCTGCCATCCTCGGGCCGGTAGGTGTTTCCGGGGACGTAGGCGTAGCGGGGCCGGTAGCCGATGCCGCGGGACAGGCTGCCGTAGCCATCAGGTAGCTCGGCGCCCCCGTAGCCACCGCTGGCGTCATGGGTGTGGAAGGAGCGGTAGGGCCCGTCAGGGCCCTCCCCGTAGCTGTTGTAGGAACGGGTCAGGGTCGAGGAGGCCTGCGGCGGGAGGTAGCGTTCGCCGTTCTTCAGGTATCGCCGGTCGATGGAGTCCGTGTAGCTGCCCAGGGGGGATGAGCCGTCCAGGACCGGGAGCCCATCGGGCCCCAGGGGAACCTGGCGCACTGTCCTCGTGGTCACCGTCTTCACCATCTTGGTGACCTGTAAGGCAGAAGGCCACCATCAGCAGCTGCATCTTTGGATTCATTGGACTGAGTGCGTCAAAGTCCCCAACCATCTGGCCCAACCCCCGAATTCTCATTTTCCACGTTTTATCAGTGTCTTTTCTCACTACCCTACCAATGCTCCTTAGCGCCTAAGCCCCGACCCCAGCCACCTAGGGAGCCTTCCCTCCTAACAGAGAAAAACCGTCAGAGCAAAAGCATTGGACATATCACCTGTGATTCACGGGGTATACGATATTCTGCACCCATAGACCCCCACCTCTGATGAGAGAAGGGTATCAACAGATGAGAAAAATGAAGTCCAAGGTCACAGTGGGATTCAAACCCAGGCCACAAGACTGTAGATTTAGAGCAGGAAAGAACCTTGGTGATCAACTAGTCTAATCCACCCATTTTAGAGAGGAGGAAACTGAGGCCCGGATGGATGGATGGATGGATGGATGGATGGATGGATGAAGTAGCTCCCCAGGTAGTAAGCAGCAGAGCTGGGATTTGAATTCAGGACCTCTGATGTCAAACTCCAGGCTCTCTCCAGCACATCACTCAGCGCTCACCTTTGTGCTAACCCTGTGGAGTCATTGTGGACCCTTCAGTATGGGGTGACATGGGCTGTTTCTCTGGATAAATTGTTATCAGAGGCAGCCCAGGTGAACTGGCAAAGGCCTTAGTTTCGGAGGTGGCCAGCCTGGGTTCAAGTTCATGTACTTGCTGTGTGATCTGGGGCATATCCCTTCCTTTCTCTGGGACTCAGTTTTCTCCTGTGTAAAATGGGGTTAACCATCCTTGCATTCCCTCCCTCACAGGCCTGTTGCAAAGAATGTGTTTTGGAAAGTTTAAAGCGTCACATGAATTGGAATCACTTTTCGCGTTGGTTTCCAAGCTGAGTCAGCAAGTACAGGAAGCCTCCGCAAGCACGTCTGGTAACGATGTAGGAGGCTCCCATCCCAACGGTCCTTCATTTCCATCAAACCAGGGCCCTGGCTCGGGAGCATCCATAAGCTTCCTCTTTTCTGTTAACACAGCAACCCAACGCACTGTTTCCTAAGCATGGGGGAAAGGGGTAGGCGGGCAGACATCAGGTTGTTTTATGGGCAGTTATAAAACAGATCCAGGGCCAGGGGAAGCACTCGGGGTAAAAGTGTCCGGGGGCTCCCAGAGGCTAATCAGTGAACTCTCAGGGCCAGTGTAGGCCAAATGGGGTTGGGCCATTAGTGCTCTGAAGGGAAAGTGGGGCGGGGGGAGGGAGGCTGGGCCTCTCTCCCCTCACCCCCATACTCCTTCCTGTGCTGGTTTGCAGCAGACACGTCAGGCCCCCACACAGCGGCAACAGCAGCCAAAGGCCAGCGCCAAGCAGTGGGCGGCTTCATGCCAGTATCCTCCGGGAGAGGGGCCATTTATAACCACCTCCCATCCTCCCTGGATGACCCCTTCCGGCCTTCACAGGGCTTTCATAGGCCCTAGCTCATCTCCTCCTCAGGCGGAGGGGTGGGGGGAGGAAGGAAGGAAGGAAGGAAGGAAGGGGGGAGGGAGGAAGGAAGGAAAGAAGGAAGGAAGGAAGGAAGGAATGAAGGAAGGAAGGAAGGAAGGAAGGAAGGAAGGAAGGAAGGAAGGAAGGAAGGAAGGAAGGAAAGAAGGAAGGAGGGAGGGAGGAAGGAAGGAAGGAAGGAGGAAGGGAGCGAGGGAGGGAGGAAGGAAGGAAGGAAG